GAGTCTCCTGTTAGTTTAGTTTCTACAAATGGTCTACTAGGCAAACATGATAATGAATGTTTAATTTACACTTTACAACAATACAATTGACTGTATCTTAAGCGAACCCCCCCCCCCCCAATAAAAAAAGAACAGTTTACTGACTCCCCCAATAATAAGGTGGAATTTTCACTCTTGCCTACAATGTTGTATTGTTATAATGGTGATCAACCAATATCCCAAGTGTGAGGTCATCCTCGTTGTGTTGATGCTCTTGTTGGTTCTTTGACATTGGTCAGAGATCCTCTTTGTGTTGTAGTGAAACAAAGCATTGGGATAAGGTTGTCTGGTGGTGTTTTTTATTTTTCTCTTATTTGTCCTCTGTGTGTTGAAACTTGACGTTAGCCCGTCTCAACTCACGTTGGTGTTTTTAAAAAAGGTCATTTTCTTTAAAGCCTAAAATGTCTTAAAGCACATCGCTTTTAGATATTTTTTGGAATCTTATCTACAATGTTTTATTTTTAATTGCACCTCGGAAATAATGTTGCACTGTAATTGCATATAGATCATAAATGTCGTTCATTATACGTTCTACAAAAAGTTACTTGTGAACATTCTCTAAACAGGCATTTTTGTAAATTCCGGATTGTGTGTTTAAGCAAACTTAACATCCAGGTGCATTTAGATCCCAACAAAATGGTGTGGGTCAGTTTTACATTTGAAACCACATTGCGTTGAATTTACTGTATTAATATACAACAAGTTAAATATATAATAGAAACTTGAATTAATGATTTTAGCATTAGGATAATGTATTGTTTTATATCAATTAAAAAATGAAAATAAATAACATTTTATTAGAAACTAACCTCTTTAATGGTGATGAAATTAAAAGTTGTTTTTTTTTAAGACAGTTTTTCCCTTTTGGTCTCATGATAGAATTTATTAACCTGAAGACCGCATTAGTTGTAACAAGTTTAATCGAGAAAGAGGCAACAAATCCCGACCATTGATTCAGTCAAGGGCAGAATCTGGCCACATTAGCTTTAGTTGTTTATCAAGTTGGTCAAGCTTAATATTATCTCAGTTAATTTACTCTGCCTTTTCCATCATGTTTTCCTGTCTCTCTCATTTCCTTTTATCATTTGGTTGGGAACATTTTGTTAAGGTTTTCTGATAGAATCAGAGTCAGAGTCAGAGTCAGAGTTTCTTTATTGTCATTCGCACCTCATGTGGTACATGTGGTGGAGCGAAATTATGTACACAGGGTCCCAGTTACATCCAACAATAAAATGTATAAGAAAAACAGTAATAAGATCTAAGATATGAACTAAGAAAAACATCAACTAAATATACACTAAGCACTCATAACATAAAACATTGAACATCAGCACAAACATGAACATGAGTCCGTGAGCAGATGTACACGCATGAACACACCAACATTGAAACAGATCAGCAGCAACATGAAACAGATCAGCAGCAACATGATATGGTTTTTCACAGTGATTATTCTGGTTAGAGATTCATGAGTCTAACAGCCTCAGGGTAGAAGCTGTTCCTCAGTCTAGTGGTTCTACACTTAATGCTCCTTAACCTCCTTCCTGAGGGGAGTGGGGCAAAAAGTGAGTGTGCTGGGTGGGTGGGGTCCTTCATGATGCAGGTGGCCCTCTTCCTGCATCTGGAGGTGTAGATGTCTGTGATGGTGGGGAGACTGATTCCAACAGATTTCTGTGCAGAATCCTCTCCAAAGTGAGAATTTGAGCACTACCAGGACATTTTCACCTGGGTTCATGTATTTACATCTTCATATGGAACTGCATGTTTTTTCTGTATCCCATAATGATGGGTGAAAATAAAAAAGTGAAGAGGGAGGATCATTTTAATCTGACCTGGGAGTGTTAATTACTTTTTCACTTCCAAGAGTGACTTCAAAGAGTTTGATACTTTCAGTTCCCAAAATATTACCACAAATGGTTTTGTTTTTAAGCTATTGTGACTTCAGACACCAAAATATGTTTTCAAAAACAAAATCTTTTTTTTCTCTTGTTTTCTTGTATTGCTCAATGTTTCATTATTCTAATTTCCATCCGTCCATCCACCTGTCCATCCGTCCGTCAGTCCCTCCCTCCCTAGGGAGGTGTCCAGGGGTCATACATAGAGGATACATAGAGTCCACACATAGTCTATCCCAGATAACTCTTCCTACGGGGAGAGTCCAGGTATCCTCTAGCTAACCTCAGCAACCTCAGTCCTGACTATGGATGGACTAACACCATAGTCCTCTGACTCGGCTTCCTCTTTGGAAGAGGTGCTGGTGTGATTGAAAAGGTCAGAAATATTCCTTCCACCATCTGACAACATGACTGGTTGAGGTCAACAGTATCCCACCTCCACTATACACAGTAATGGGCTAAGTGCTGCTTTCCCTGCGTCAGTTGCCCAATGGTTTGCCAGAATCTCCTCTGAGCTGATCAAGACTTTCTATCCAAGGCCTCACTTAACTCCTCCCGCATCCAAGTATTTGCCTCAGCAAAAGCCAGGGCTTCAGACCGCTTGACTCCTTGATTGATGCCCTCAGCTACCTCTGGTGTCTTATCAGCGAACAATAGGACTCCTCCTTTAGTTTGATGGCCTCCCTAACTCAGGATGTCCACCACCAAGTTCGAGGATGGCTGTCGCAAGAAGCACTGACAACCTTGCAACCACAGCTGAAGGCAGCCGCGTCGATAATGGAGGCATAAAACATGGCCCACTCTAACTAAATGTCCTCTGCCTCTGCTGGGTTGCAGTTAGTTTTCTCAGAGTCAGAGTCAGAGTTTCTTTATTGTCATTCGCACCTCATGTGGTACATGTGGTGGAGCGAAATTATGTACACAGGGTCCCAGTTACATCCAACAATAAAATGTATAAGAAAAACAGTAATAACATCTAAGAAATGAACTAAGAAAAACATCAACTAAATATACACTAAGCACTCATAACATAAAAACATTGAACATCAGCACAAACATGAACATGAGTCTGTGTGAGCAGATGAGCACGCATGAACACATCAACATTGAAACAGATCAGCAGCAACATGAAACAGATCAGCAGCAACATGATGTGATTTTTCACAGTGATTATTCTGGTTAGAGATTCATGAGTCTAACAGCCTCAGGGAAGAAGCTGTTCCTCAGTCTAGTGGTTCTACACTTAATGCTCCTCAACCTCCTTCCTGAGGGGAGTGGGGCAAAAAGTGTGTGTGCTGGGTGAGTGAGGTCCTTCATGATGCAGGTAGCCCTCTTCCTGCATCTGGAGGTGTAGATGTCTGTGATGGTGGGGTGGCTGACTCCGACAGACTTCTGTGCAGCCTTCACCACTCTCTGCAAAGCTTTTCTTTCTGCAGCTGTGCAGCCTCCATGCCACACGTTGATGCTGGAGCACAGGATGCTCTCCACTGCACACATGTAGAAGGAGGTGAGGACTGAGCTTCCCAGACCAGCTCGTCTCAGCCGTCTGAGGAAGTAGAGTCTCTGATGAGCTTTCTTGATCAGGCTGGTGGTGTTGTTGCTCCAGCTGAGGTTGTCATTCATGTGTACACCCAAGTACTTGTAGCTGGAGACCACTTCCACCGCAGATCCTTTTATGTTCAGGGGGGTGTAGATGTTTTTGTTCCTTCTGAAGTCCACAATCATCTCCTTTGTCTTCTTCACATTGATGTGAAGGTTATTCTCTTTGCACCAGCTCTCCAGGTGTTCCACCTCTTGCTTGTAGCTGGACTCATCATTGTTTGTGATGCATTCCACCACCGCTGTATCATCTACAAACTTTACAATGTGACAGCCTGGATGGTGTGAGTTGAAGATCTTTCTGCTGGTTATTCTGCCAGGCATTCCCACCAAACCCTCACTACATGTTTGCGTCTACTGGGTCTGTCTAGCTTCGTCCCCCACAATCTGATCAAACTCGCCACCAGGTGATTAGTTGAGCATAGCTTCTCTTTGCACCCGAGTGTCCAAAACTTATGGCTGCAGATCAGATGACATGATTACAAAGTCAATTATTGATGCGCAACCTAGAATGCCCTGGTGCCATGTGCACTTATAGACTCGTTTATGTTCTAACATGGTGCTCATAATGGACAAACCATGACTAGAACAGAAGTCGAACAACAGAATACCACTCGGGTTCAGATCAGAGAGGTTGCGCCTCCAACTTTGGCCTTTTAGGAGGTCACACTGTTTCTACTTACATTGGCATTGAAGTCTCCCATCAGAATAAAGGCATCCTAGCTGGAGCACTTTCCAGCACCTAAAGAGACCAAAAAGGCTGGGTACTCTTAAACAGCTGTTTGGTGTATAGGCACAAACAGCATTCAGCCAGTCCCCCGACTCGAAGGCGTAAAGCAGCTTCCCTCTCATCTACCGGGGAAAACTCTCAGATGCACCAAGCCAGAGGGCTACAAGTAGACCCACACCAACTCGGCGCCTCTCACTATGGGCAAATCCAGAATAGAATAACAACCAGCCCCTCTCAAGGAAATGGGTTCCAGAGTGCATGCTGTGCGCAGAGGTGAGCCCAATTATATCTTGTCAGTGGTAGAGGTAGGGCAACTGACTTGGGACCAGAAAGTTGTGGTTCGACTCCCAGCTATTCCCACATATCGTGGTGTCTCTGAGCTAGACAACTAATCCCCAAATCCTCCCCGGGCGCTTACATAGCTGGCTGCCCACTGCTCCACCTGGGTGTAGCCAGATGTGATGGGTTAAATGCAGAGAACTAATTTTGCCATTGTCTAGGAACATACACTTATGACAATCTCAAACTTCCCCTTCCCTCTCAACATCATGCACAAGCTTAGATTTCTTCCCTGCCAAAGAGGTGACATTCCATGTCCCAAGAGCCAGCTTTGGTAAGCCAGGGTCTGAGCGCCAAGGCCCTGCCTTCGGCTTTAACCCATGGCACCATGCACTCAATTCGTTTGGCCTCTCCTGCAGGTGGTGGGCCCACATTCAGGCTGAATTTGAATGGGCCCCATGGGTAGAGAGATCCAGTCACCAGGCACGCACGCCGACAAGATGCTCCCCCAGGCCTGCCTCCAGGGTGGGGCTCGGTAAATCATGTCTGGCAAGGGACATCAATCTCCTCACTGTTGTCTGTTCATACGAGTATTCTGAATCGCTCTTTGTCTGAACTGTCAACACACTTTTTTATTTTATTTCTGACAGCCACTCTAATGCAACCCTTCCAGTTCTCTGGTATTTACTCACTGTGTTGGGATTTTATTGTACAGCCCTTACAAGGGCCTCTGTCCTAGAGAACAAGGCTACAGGGTTGAGCGGATGAAGGAAAATATTGAACCCCTGATGGCAGTAAAAGGGAGATTTAGACATTCTCCATGAGTCCTCTCACTGGGATAAAATGCATTTGCAGTGCCTATCACTGTGCCAGAAAACTATAACCTCTTCTTAGGGTTGATTAAAGAGCTGTCATTTACAGACCATTGAGGAGAAACCTGGATGCAATAAATGTGAGCAAAAACAATGTAGCTTTTCAAATAAGTAAAGAATTTGTTAAATCTGCTTAGGAAGTGGAACAGAGAACAAATGCTTTCTGTTGAACACCCCATGATCCCCTCCCCCTCCACATGCTTGAAGAAACAAACAAACAAGCAGCTTGAACGGATTGTGACAGAGAAGCACTTGTGCAGCATTAGCCTCTTAGGCTAACAAAGTACTATTACTGCATCATGTCCCCACTGTCACAGGCAACACAGCCCTGTTTGAAAAGTGCTGCCATGTGATCTGCCCAATTTGAAAATGGATTGCATATGCCATTAATTATTTATTGTCCATTACAAGCAAATTTCCATTAAATATTAAAATCTGTGCTACATTGATAATTATCCTTATATATGTATATAACAGTTTCAGTCTAAAGTGTGGTTGACAAAAAAGGTTCTTGATAATGTTACATTTCAAGTGAACCTTTGAATCCCAAAAATTATTTGAGATTTGACAATTCTTTCTCCCCCTAAGTAAAAAAAAAAAAAAAAAAGTTAGTGCTGTTCTTGTTTGTTTCAAAATTGAGATTGTAGTGGTCTCGAGTTCATTTTTTTATATTTTAGTGTACCGTAGTAAAGTTCGTGCTACTGTTTGACATAATGTTTTTATGTTATTAGTGCTTAGTGTATATTTAATTGATGTTTTTCTTAGTTCATATCTTAGATCTTATTACTGTTTTTCTTTTACATTTTATTGTTGGATGTAATTGGGACCCTGTGTACATAATGTCGTTCCACCACATGTACTACATGGGGTGCGAATGACAAATAAAGAACCTTGATTCCTTGAAAGTTGGAGTCATTACCTCACGAAAAACAAAACCACGAAAACAAAACATTCATGTGTGTATTGCGTTGTGTTTTTAATGGCTGAGCAGTCTTCTGCTATAGACAATAATATGAAAATTGCATATCAAGCACTTTATTTTAATCACGTGGCTTTGACCACTATTGATTGTAAACTCTGAAAGTTTGTTGGACATTACACCTATTAGTTAATGATTAGTAAACATAAATTAACTCTTGGAAAAAAAAAAACTAAATCTGACAGTGGAGTTTTCATTCATTTATCTGTTTATACATTTAAATAGTCAATTGTCTTTGTAATTTTCTAAGCTTGATAGTTGTTATGGACACACTTTTATTCTATATTGTCTGCAAAGGATCAGTACTAATACTTTTAAAGGAGAAAACACCTATTTAAACCAGTGTCAAGCTTTTGTCAAGCAGTCTTTCAACCACCGTATAGTTTCTTTCACGGGACGTAATTGCTTATTTTAAAATGTATTATTGAGAGCATTTAAGCAAATTTTTAAGCCAAATTATTTGGGAATTAAGCAGGATATAACTGTTGAAAGCATTTAAACAACTAGGGATTAAAACAATATTTAGACCTTAGACATATATCAAAAACTGTGCTGTCAATTATAATCGTTCAATTCTTAATATCCTGATGCATGCTCAATAATCCAGGTAGAAAAATCTAAAAAAGTTAAATCTGGTCCTCTGGACATTCAAAAAAAACAAAACAAAGCAAATCAACAAAATTTGTTGATTTGCTTTGTTTTGTTTTTTTGAATGTCCAGAGGAAAAGATTTAACTTTTTTAGTTCAATTCTTAAGTTTCACTGAAGTTTCGTGAATTGGTTTGTGGAATTATTATCATCTTAAACTTCAGACATTGCTATTCTGAGGTGAAATCATGGTTGTTTTTACTGATCTGATTACATTTATGTAACAAGCTGCAAGTGCTACACATGCACAGTCGTTCTTAAATGCTGGTTGAGCAGTCAGACATAGTTTTAGGAGATGATTCACGGTAACACGGCACAATGATTTAATCAACGTCACACATACTGTCTGGACAAGACCTGGCTCAGAGGTAGCGCTCTATGCAGATTATCCATATTTTTTCTAACGTGTCCCTCTTACAACTCAATTTGTTACTTTTAGTGGAGCATTGACTGTTGACTTGAATAGAAGATCAAGGCTAACATAGAGATTTTTGTAAACATGCGACTCGTTTTTTCCTGGTGCAGCTGTTTACCATCCCACGTGCCAGGCTCACAAAGCAGCTTAGCAGCTTGTGGAGTGACTGAAAAAAGTTTTTCCTTTTTTTAGAGCTGACTGTGTGTATTTTAGTGATGATTCTTCATGACATTGGCACCATGCCATGTTTAACTATTTCAGATAGAACTATAATTAAAAGCAGGTTTTATAGCATTGCATGCATCATGAAGGTTTCTTTTCATTTTTCTAGTTTCCCATACAATGACGTGACAGTGAAATTAGTCAGAGTCAGAGTTTCTTTATTGTCATTCGCACCTCATGTGGTACATGTGGTGGAGCGAAATTATGTACACAAGGTCCCAGTTACATCCAACAATAAAATGTATAAGAAAAACAGTAATAACATCTAAGATATGAACTAAGAAAAACATCAACTAAATATACACTAAGCACTCATAACATAAAACATTGAACATCAGCACAAACATGAACATGAGTCTGTGAGCAGATGTGCACGCATGAACACATCAACAT